GAAACAATCCATTAAGCTCAAAAAACCCGCATGTCAAATTTTGATTTTTACGGGGTCGATTTTTTCTAAAAAAAGTTAAATTTCTCAAAATCTCGCGAATTCCACATTATTTTTTCTTGAGAGAACGCGGAATGCAACGAGCTCATAAAAAAACACGCTGGAAGCTTCAAGTTCGAAATAATCGACATTTTTGGTTCAATTAAAGCGAATTTTGCGCGGTCACGATCTTTCACCTTCGATATTTTCCTTATTCCAGATTAGAGCACCTTGAATATGCTTATCGGGGTGCTTCTAAGTGCGCAAACAATGCGTTGAGCTCACAAAATTTGCATGCAAAATTCGTCGTTTTTTGCATGAAAAAAATCGCATGTAAAATTTTGAATTTTTACCAAAATTTTCCTAAGGGTAGGGGCCGGTTTTCCAAAACAAAGTAAAATTTCTTAAAATCTCGTGAATTCTACATTATTTTCATCGTGAGGGAACGCGGAATGCAACAAGCTCATTAAAAAACACTCTGGAAGCTTCAAGTTCGGAAAAATCGACATTTTGTTTTATTTTAAGCGATTGTTTAACGGTTGCTATCTTTATCCGACTACATTTTCTTTAAGAAATACATGGGCACCTAAAATGTTCATATCAAGAAGCTTTTTGGATCGCAATCCATCCAATGAGAGCACAAAATACGCTTGCAAATTTTTGATTTTTGGTCGTTTTTTGCAAGAAAAAATCAAGTCTATGAAAACTCCAGATTATTCTGATCAGCAGAAAGCGGGGAATGTAGTCAGCTCATGAAAAACCCTGCTTGAACCTTCAAGTTAGAAAAAATCAGCATTTTCTGTCCATTTTGAGTCGGTTTTGAACGGTCGCAATCAATCCAATGAGCGCATAAAATGCGCTATACTTCAAAAGGCTATTGCGTAAAAACTGGAGAAGATTTGAGCTTGAAACCTCCAGCAGCCTTTAAAGAAGGCTGTTCTTTAATCACTCGGTGAATATGGACAAAATCCAATGAAAAGCTGCTTCGCAATGAGTTCTGAAATTTTGGACCTTTTTTTTGCTTTGAGCGGTTGTGCACAACACGCCTTCAAGCAGCCATTTCTCCAGAACGAGAAGAGGTATCAGCTTGCAGCTTGCAGCAGCCGTTAAAGAAGGCTCGAGTTTACTTATGGTGTGAATATGGGCAAAGCCCAGTGAGAGGCTTCTTCACAACCAATTGCGCAAATTTGAACACACTTTACTCGCCTTCTCTTTGTACGACCGTTTTTTTTTTGGTCGGTTTCTTCAAAAAAAAAGTTCGGAAAAATCGACATTTTGTTTTATTTTAAGCGATTGTTTAACGGTTGCTATCTTTATCCGACGATATTTTCTTTAAGAAATGCATAGACACCTAAAAAGTTCATATCAAGAAGCTTTTTAGATCGCAATCCATCCAATGAGGAGCACAAAATACGCTTGCAAATTTTTGATTTTCGGTCATTTTTCGCAAGAAAAAATCAAGTCTATGAAAACTCCAGATTATTTTGATCAGCTGAAA